GGGGTGGGTTGGCACATTCAACCTCATATCCCTGTACTAGTAGGAACAATAAGTCTGTTATATATCTCCTTCAGTGAATAAAAGAACAAGAGATCATGAAATTTTAGTGATTTTAGTAAGTTACTGTGACAACTTTTCCCATTTAGGAGCAAACCACTTTCATTAGAAAAATATAAACCAATATACTTAAGTTTTTAAAATGATACCTTAGAGTATTTAGCTTAGAAATCAAGTGTCTCACGCAACGTTTACCACTAACGATGCGTATAGAGCCCTCAGGTAGTGTTTAATAAAGACTATTCTGCCTCAGGTCTTGGCAGAAATGTGTAGATATAGATCTAAACTGATATTGAAACCAAAGAAACACTGGTCTTTGACTCGCAGATAAGAAAAAAATGTCTCTATATAGAACAAATTGTCGCCCGTGAGCTTGAATGTTATCGATTATCGTGTTTTCCAAGTCACACTTGAAACGATTTGGAATACATGTACAACAAACCTTAGTTTTCTTTGATAATTAATTGCTCCTGTAAACTCGGGGTTGGATGAGGCTGGGGGAAGGTATTGATATCCAAGCAACAAAAATCGGACGCGGGAAAGGGGGGGGGGGGACTGTCAAGAGTTCAGCGTTATTGATAATTAGCCTCACGGTGACATCGGGCCAGAGTTGCAGCTGACACATTCTTTATGTTTTGGATTCTAGCGTTTTGCAAGACATCTTTGGATTCACTGACTCACAATAAGGTGGTGCGACTGCCCGATAGGGAAAGTTTGGCTTTGTTTTTGCTGGGTTTTCTTTTCTTTTAGATGTTTGGGATTTAGCCAAGACGGAGAGATCATAATGTCAGTCGTGAGAGAACGCCTTCTGGTAAGACGTCTGGGCTTCCGCCAGTCTCGCGGTTACTGGTTTGTTAAAAAATAGCCAAAACAGCAACAAAGAAAAACGAAACTGGGTAAGGAAAAAGAAATGGGAAGAAGGGATGGGGATGGGGAATTGTTTCCAATTACTAGTAAAATGAGAATGTAATGATACTGTGATACTCGAGAATATAAAAAATGTCGACCAGCTTCTTCAGATTACCGTCGTTCCGATATCTACTTCTTTTGTTTCTAATGTTGTGGTGAACCTTTATTGTGCTTACGCTGATGTGAACGAACTTTTATGACTGAGAAAAGGCGTGTGTACGTGATGGAGTATGGGAAGAAACATACAGATAGGTCCACGTAATAAGGGAGAGGCAATAGATCTGTACGTAGAGAAGGGGATAGGGGGACTTATAGAAGCGCCCCCCCCCCTTCTTTTTTTCATCTGTCTCTTTATTTTTCTCAACCTTTTCGACCCTCTATCTATCACACTCTCCCGCTGGTTTGTGCATACTCTCGCACACACACAAATACACACTCACACACAAACGTATAAATGCACACACAAACACACATGCACACAAACACGCACAAGCACACACACGCACACACACACGGACACGCACACACACACGTAATTTGTACTGATATGAGCGTATAATACCTACATTAACTTTTTTTAAAGGAAAAAAAACCTGTTAAAATTTTTTTTTTTAAAATTACGTGTCGACCATTAAAATCATTTCTAGTGACTGCTCGGAACACAATTAGCTATAAGGCTCAGTCTAAGACATGCTGAAGTCGGGATGGGCGCTGTGGTTAATGTTGACGATGTTTTTTGTGTGTGTACATGTGTGCGTCTGTGTCTGTCTGTCTGTCTGTCTGTCTGTCTGTCTGTGTGTCTGTGTGTCTGTCTGCCTGTCTGCCTGTCTGTCTGTCTGTCTGTCTGTCTGTCTGTCTGTCTGTCTGTGCTTGCGTGTGTGCATGTGTGCGTG